GAGTAGAGTACGCGACTCTTGATCGCAGGGTTGTGAGTTCGAGCCCCATGTTGGGTGTAGTGAGTACTTAAAAATAAAATCAAAAAGGAAAAAAGAAAAGCAGTAGCACAAAGTCATGGTCATGGGCAGGCAGGTCCCACTTCCCAGGTAACAGGCTGTGATGTGCTCCCGGTCTGCGGGCTCCAGGCTGGCTGTGACGGACGACACTGTGGGGCTGTGAGATGCCCACTCAGAGAGGATACAGTGTTGCATAGACAACTGGCGGTTCCTGGCACACCCCGCTGTGCTACACTGCGTGCTCTACGCTGACTGTGTGCTCACTGTTTTTACCACAGCTTAGCATTTTGATGTCTTTCCTTTTCAGACTTCGCTACGTTGTAACTTGTTATAAAGTTGAGACTAAATGTGCAGTTTTGTATCCTTTTATTTTTTTTTCTAAAATGTAGCTTTTAGGGGCGCCTGGGTGGCTCAGTCAGTTAAGCATCAGACTTCTGCTCAGGTCATGATCTTGGGGTTTGTGGTTCGAGCCCCACGTCGTCGGGCTCTGTGCTGACAGCTCAGAGCCTGGAGCCTGTTTAAGATTCTGTATCTACCTCTCTCTCTGACCCTCCCGTGTACACTGTCTGTCGGTCTGTCTCTCTCTCTCTCTCAGAAATAAGTAAAATACTAAAAAAAATTTTTAAATAAATAAATAAAATGTAGCTTCGATCCTGACCACGTTCCTACTTCATGATTTCAAAAGCCTCCCTAGGACTCCACTTTGGAGAGAGCGTTCTTTAACCGTTTCCACACTCCTGGAGCACCGGACTGTCTCCATTCTCACTCTGCAGATTCTTCTGCACACACATTTCTGCACACACATCTCTTGGTCACCTCGATTGTTTCCTTAGAACAGATTTCTGGAAGGGGGGTTATTGGATGGCAAAACTGCTGTCAGCCTTCGATACCGATTACCAGATGGCGAACTGAACGGTGCTCATCTGGGATGATTCTGGAAATAAAGCTCTAAAAATGGATTTCTCCCACGGGGTGGGTGGTCACAGGGCAGAGATCCTGTTGGAAACAGGGACTGTCTTTGATCCCGCCAGGAAACAGCTGTTCCCGGGAGCCGTGTGCTCTAAGTCGGATGCGACCCCAGGCGATGCGTAGGGTCGCTGGCCTGCGGGGAAATGGCCTCCTTGATGTTCACTTGTGCCTACTATCCTGATGTTAAAATTGTGGCACACGGGTGAATGTCAGTCACCACGCGATCCAGGGGGCACCTCTGTAAAGCCGCTACTGCAGAGAGCACATGTCTCTCCCTAAGTGCACCTGTGGTGAGCCGTCTCTGAGGGGGTTTGGGACGTGTGGTGTCAGCAGGGGGTGGCCCAAGTGGTCAGCGGTCTGGCCAGGAGCAGGGGCTCAGATGGTCTGAGTCAGGGTGACCTCCCCACCCCCATTTCTCTCTGGTGTGGCCCTTGGTGTTTGGGTTGCCAGTGCGTGTGCTCGGCTGGCAGACTGTGATGTTTCTGTTAGCCCAGAGCCGAGAGTGGTGGCTGCGTGATGAGCAGATGGGAGAACGTTGGGAGACTGGGCACAGGAAGCCTGAGTTCTGGTTCCAGCTCTGCTGCGAATCTGCTGTGTGAACTTGAGCAAGTCAGCACCCTCTCTGAGCTTTGCTTTCCTGTCTAGAAAGAGAGGGTTCTGGACCAGGTCCCATTTCCACTGAGAAGACCTAGAAGTGGGCATGGATGGCCCGGGGGAGGATGCTGCTGAGGCCCGTGCTACCCTGTGATGGTTTTGGGAGTTGAGAACTGCGTGCAGGCAGGGGCCTTCAGCCTGAGGAAGTAGTCTTGGCCTCTGAGCACATGAGGCTCCACGCTGCTCCTTGGGGTTGACTACCTTCCTGTTTCTTCTCTGTTTGGAAATTACTCCCTGACCTTGGAGCCCCGGTTCAGAGGTCCCCTTCTTGGCGTCTCTGAATCCTCAGCACCTGGCACGTTGCAGGCCATCAGTGGCGTGGATTCGTGTGTCTTTCCCTGGACACCGATGCTGGCTACCACGTGCACCCTCGTCGTCGTGTTCCGCCGCAGCACGTGGTCCCACCCCTGTGGCAGGCCTGCAGGTAGTGGGTGAAACATGGGAGGTGGGAGTGAGGGTTGGTTAAGGTGAAATCGGCTCAGGACCCCTGCTGTCCTTTGGCAATGCTGGGGCCCCGGCTCGCTTCCTCGCTCTGCTTGACCTTGGGATAAACAGGCTGCCTTTGTCCTGTTAGGATCCAACTGGTTTTGCTTCGACTGTATGCACTGGGTCTTCTCCTTGATACCAGGGTTTTTTAAGATAACAGAATCAAGTAAACTAAAAAGCATACCACAAAACCCAGTCCTTCTAACTTCAGAATGTACATGTTTTGCTGGCTTTGAAACAGACTTTTCTGTGAGACTCTCTCATCTCACCCCTTTAATTGGATTGGTGGAAAGAGTGAGGTGCGGGAAACAGGAGGGCTGTGGGGTTAGAATTGAGAAGACACAGGGTCTTGTCCTGCCGTGGTCTCAGTGACTTGGAGCCTTGTCTTTCGAAGTCCTTCCCACACGAGGGGTTTTTGGCTCTGGATCATTAATAAGAACCAGAGTTGGAGATATATTTGAACATCGGGGGAGGCAAGAGAGTGAGCTCTTTTTAGAAAAACAGCTTTCACAATTTTGTAAATAAGAGCTGATAGACCAGTTTGGGATCTTTCCAGAAACTTTATTCCCAGGCTATTTATTTTGGGTTCCTATTTTAAGTTTGTTTTCGGCAAAAGAAAAATAAAGGCGCTCAACTCCTTTCTGTTCTCTAGTAGGAAAATCTCAAAACTTTGGGCGATCTAGAGCAGTGGGTCAGTCAGTCTGCATCTGTGGAGGGTTTACTGTGCTCACAGGGGGCCACCATGCTGCTGTTTCTGGAAGACATGGAGAGATGCAGGGCTGTAGTCTCTCAAGAAGCTGCAAAGTTGTTTGCAAGGAGAGAAATTTGTGTTAAAAACCCCAATGACATCAGCATGGAGAAGGTCCCACTGACCTAAATTGGGACAGTTTGAGCATCAGAAAATAATGACTGCAGTGGGACAGAACACTTGACATCTGTGAGATCATGGTGATGATGATGAGCCAAACACTTTGTTGGTCAGGGTTGAGGGTGCAGGAAGCAGCACGTTATTTTGAAGATTTATAAGGGAAAGAATGTTTTAAACCGTGAACTATATGAGGCAGTCCGCTAAGAAGCCCAGAAGGAGGGGTGACCGGAAGCTCACTCTTACTTCCTGGTGCTGGAATATGCTGTGTGTCCTGTGTCGGGCTGGCTGACTGCCAGTGAGACCAGGCAGGTTCCTCTTTCCCACAGGTGACTGACCGTGGGCCGGGAGGCAGCCCGCAGAGTGAACAGAGAGTGGATTTGACCCCTGGCCCACCTCTTACCAACTGTGTGATCTTGGCTGAATTCCACCCCATTCAGAACGCAGTAGGGATGATAATATTAACAGTTCAGAGTGTTACCAAGTTAACTTAAACAAAGACTTAAAGGCCACCTGATAGGCATGAACTGAAAGTGAATTTCCTCACTCTGCCCTGTGAGTGTTCACTTCGAGCTGTACAGGCACCGTTCTCAGGGGCCCCTGCATGGCTCTCAGGGCGACTTTGGTCTTTGCATTCCTGTTTTCTGTCCCCCAGTGGAGTGACCTCAGCACTAGACGTCTGCTGTGGCCGTCCCTCCCTTCCCAAGCCACACTGGAATTGCCCATGTCTTGACCACCAACTTTTGAAATAGTTCTAAGAGAGCATGTGGTTGGAAAGGAACCACCCTTTGCTGTTAACCGCATGTGCCAGAATCACAGCTAGAGCAAGCTAAGAGGTGTAACTGATCCATTTCTGAAATGGAATTACCTTGGTTTTGGCAAGGTAAGCTGTCTCTATCAGTGAAACACCAGTGCGCAGAGCAGAACAGTGGGCTTGGGGATGAGATGCCCCAGACAAGCTGGTTTGAACTCTAGCTCGGCCACTTGCTGACCCTGTTTCCAGGACAACCTATTTGATCTCTTTGAGCCCTGTTTGATTTCTTTTCACCACGATGAGAAAAAAAATACATATGTCCTACAAAGTTGTCCTGAGGTGTAGAAAAAACACAGATTGTCTGTGCATCGTATAAATGACATCTGTGGACTGCTCACTGCCAGTCAGTGCTGTCAGGTGGGTGCTGAGTGTGGCTGGACTCCATGTCCCCACGCTGTTCTTGGATTCTTCCCTTGCCCTTGTGAGCATCTCACAGCACGTCTCTAACCTTCATGTGGCAGAGACCTTGGCTCGTTTACTCATTGGAGTCACGTACTCCTTCTGTGCCATGGAAGGTGGGCACCCAGAACCCAGATCTGAGGGCCCTTCCCGTTCTGCCACACATTCTTCAGGACCCATACGTGTGTGTTTCTGTCTTGTTTGCTGAGAGTAGTCTCAGAAATGCATTTAATTTATCCAGAACTCTCAGGTCCTTTTCTGAAATGTCAAAGAAGAAAAAAAAACAAGGAAAAAGGGCTTGAACAGTGAAATTAATTTTCTCTTCTGTTCGTTAGAGCCACGTCAGAATGCCCTGAGGCCACCACTGGGGGTGGAGGGCATAGCGCCTCCCTAGTAAGGTGGGTGGGCACACCATTCGTGGATCACAGTGATCTGGCTCACGGTCAAGGGTGCCCTGTCACGAACAGATGTTCCCCTTGCTTGCCCTGGTTTTCAGGCCAGGAGTTGGCATTGGCTGGCAGTGGTTTTCTTCACCTGAGGAAGGAAGAATCTGGTGGCCATCCCTCCTGGTCATCACGCTTGTCCTTTGGGACCCGTTGCCAGCACGGCACGGTGATTGCGGTTCCTAGCGCACCTCGACTTCTCTCAGATCTCTGTCCTGCTGATGTGTTCAGTTTTATTCCCAGCTAAGAAGACCTGCTAAAGACGGGGAGGGAGAGGTGGCTGCATTAACCGCGTCTCCCCTTGCCGCCGCAGCCCACGTGGAGAACGAAGAGCAGTACACCCAGGCCCTGGAGAAGTTCGGCGGCAACTGCGTGTGCAGAGACGACCCGGACCTGGGAAGCGCGTTTCTGAAGTTCTCTGTGTTTACCAAGGAGCTGACGGCGCTTTTCAAAAACCTGGTAAGGACCCTGTGTGGCACGCCTGCCATGACTTTATTTTTTTATTTTACTTTTTAAAAATTTGTTTCATGTTTATTTTTGAAAGAGAGTGAGTGCAGGGGAGAGGCAGAGAGAGAGGGAGACACAGAATCCAAAGCAGGCTCCAGGCTCTGAGCTGTCAGCATAGAGCCCGACGTGGGGCTCGAACTCGGGAACCACGAGATCGTGACCTGAGCCGAAGTCAGACGCTCAACTGACTGAGCCCCCAGGTGCCCCTGTCGTCACTCTAGATGGAAAGGTAGCTCGATAGAGGATAGCTAAGGTTTGTTTGATGACCAGAGAGTAAGTTTCATAGCTCATGTGGTACCTAAAGGAATTATATTTTCTGTCACATTAGGTCACTTTGGAATAAATTTTAGAATTGCAGTTTTTATGGTCATGTGGCTTTTTAAATTCAAGTCAGCCTTTGAAATATGCACAGCTGTGGGACAAAATGGGTAAAAGCATTCATCTTCTCCAGGGCCTCTGACTTCAATTTCTAAGTTTCTAAACTATGTAGAATAGTCTGTTTCTGGTAATTATGGCAGGCGTTTAAACTTACAGTATTTAATAAATATGTTCCAGGCCTGTCTTACACAGCAAGGTAACCTATAATCAGAGCACAGAAATTGCCATGAATATTTAAAGGCGTTTTATGCTCCCAAATGCAGAGCCTAAAAAAAGTCACTTCTTAAGCACCAGGAAACATGGAGCAGGCACTTCTTGCCAGTGGCAGGTCCTGGGGGGCCAGGTGAATGGGGTTCTTTCTTGTGCGTGGCAGCTCTGGGCCTTCCCTTGGGGAACAGAATTCTGAACAAGGGGACAGACAGCCCGACAGGGTGCTTGGGACCTGCCGCCTGGTTTCTTCCACAAGGGGGAACATCCGCCAGGATGGTCCCAGCATCTCTTTCCTTTTTTGCTCCCCCAAGGTCAAGGTCATGGGTGACCAGACCTGGTCAAGGTCGCAAAGAACAGTGCCTTTCTCCTGTCAGCAAGCAAATAACAAGTGAAAAAGTAGCTCATCGTTCTTGGAATGGTGATGATGGTGGGTTTGTATGTCTGGCCATAGGAGGTGGAAAGAAATAGGGCGCCCGGGTGGCTTAGTCGGTTAAGCATCCGACTTTCGCTTAGGTCATGATCTCGCGGTTCGTGGGTTCGAGCCCCACGTCGGGCTCTGTGCTGACTGCCAGCTCAGAGCCTGGAGCCTGTTTCAGTCTGTGACTCCCTCTCTCTCTGACCCTCCCCTGCTCACGCTGTCTCTCTCTCTCTCTCTCTCTTAGAAATAAAAAATAAATAAATAAATAATTAAAAAATTAAAAAAAAAAAAAAAGGAGGTGGAAAGAAGGGAACATTGTGTATGAGGGGAAGAAAAGGGACCAGATCCTAAGGCTCTGTCTTGTAAAATATTTCGGTTGGAAATGGTAGAACTAAAAAGCCATTACTGTGCTCAAGTTAATTTGCAAACTCTTGGGGTTTTATCAAGTTGGTCGCCCATTTCTTCCTAGTCCAAACAGGCTGGCAGTCAGCACCTCAGGTAGGGGGCTCCAGGCCCCCATTAACTCTGCTCTCTGGTCCCTGGCTGACATGCTTATGTAGGCTCTCACCACTGAGTCAGATTGGAGCTTTTTTTTTTTTTTCTTAACTGGAGAAGGGGCACCTGGGTGGCTCAGTTCGTTAAGCACCCAACAATTGATTTCAGCTCAAGTCGTGATCTCAGGGTTTATGAGTTTGAGCCCTACATTGGGCTCCTCACTGACCATACAGAGTCTGCTTGGGATTCTCTCTCCCTCTCCCTCTGCCCCTCCCCAGCTTTCTCTCTCTCTCTTAAAATAAATAAATAAACATTAAAAAGATTCTAAACTGGAGAGACTGAATGGTCCCAGGGAAGACCTGTGGGGGTCTTCCTGTGACACAGGCAGCCTGCGGACCACTCTCCCAGCACCCCCCCCCCTCCGTGGGTCAGCCCCTTCCCGGCTCTGAGCGCCTCACCCTTGAGTAGGAGCGAACAACCTGCAGAATGGAAGACTAGGATAAGCAGAAGAAAGGACTTAGAGGAGACATCAGGGTAGACCTGTGTCAGAGGGAAGTAGCTGGGGACGCAGTTTATCATTAAAGGGGAACGACCGTTGCTATAAGAAAACATAAAGGCAAAAATCCAGTGAGAAGGTTGGAATAGAAGCCTCTCAGAAAACAGATCAAAAATAAAGCAAAAACGTGGAAAATAAAAGACAAGATGAGTGGACAGGCACCTCGGAGAGAATGGAAACAGGAGGGCGGCATGAGCACAGCAGGGTGGAGACCACCCCTGGCTGCAAGGCTGCCCAGTGCCCAGAGCAGTGTGGGAAGAGGACCCACCCCAGGCGGCCAGGCTTAACACCTAACACATCAGTGGTGTGGGGGCGCCTGGGCGGCTCAGTCAGTTGGGTGTCTGACTCTTGATCTTGGCTCAGGTCATGATCTCACGGTTTTGTGAGTTCGAGCTCCATGTGCTCAGGCCTCCCCTCTGTGCTGACAGGGAGGAAGGAGCCTGCTTGGGATTCTCTCCATCTCTCTCTACCTCTGTGCCACTCGTGCACATGTATGTGCGCTCGCTCGCTCTCTCTAAAAATGTTAAAAAAAAGTCAGTGGTATTGGACATCTCAGCATGAACACTGGAATTTGTAAGGCACAGAGCAAGGCCACTAACATCCCGAGGAGCATGATTCTAACCTGGATTTACAGCAGCTGAGCATGGGGGTAGAATTAGAAATATTTTCAGAAAGGCAAGGCTCAGAGAGTGTGGCGCCAGTGCGTCATTTCTCCAAAACTCCTAAAGGATACGCTTTAGCAAAATGAAGAGGGCCGCCAAGAAAGAGGAAGATGTGTGAGTCAGGAAGCAGGACCCAGCTAGGAGGGAAGCAGTGACAGGGATCCGGAGGACGGCAAAGGGACCTGGGACCTACTCTTTCATCTTCATTCAGCTCATCTCTAGACCTGGCTTTTCTCCACTCTAAAATGGAGATAATAACGCCATACCTGGTTTTATGTGTGGAATATGCCAATTGCTTTATTCATCTTAACTGATTTCATCTTTACAACAACCCCATTGAGCAAGTCCGTGTTCCCTCTGCTCTGGAGGTCATATAACTGAGGCAGGGGGCGGGGTTATAGCCCCTGCACGTATGCTTGTGGGTCTGGAAGGGCCCATCTTCTACCGCACATGGTGGAATCCCGAATAAGTGAGCTTGTGCTTCGTTATCAACCTGAGCAGCCACACGCTTAAACCATACTGCCCCTTCTTTTCTTGATTTTCTGCAAAACTGAAGGCAGGTCAGGGCCTGGACCTTGCGACTACTGCTCTGCCCACCACCCACGGCTTTGCCACTTTGACCACTGTGGGAATCCCAGCAAAGCTCACCCAACCCCGCTTTCCGCAGTAAGTTGTCAACGGCCATGGTTAATGAGCACCCATGGGGCAGTCACCCCGGCGTGAGGCATTAAGGGGACACTTGTTCTTGCTGGTTCCTTCAGTCCTCCTGATGGCTGTGTGAGACACCAGGTCTCTGATTGGGGCACACACTCAGTAAGTGACTTACCAGGTCTGTAGTGAGCATGCAACAGAGTTGGGATTCGAATCCAGGTCTTAAAACCAAATCCAGGGGCACCTGGGTGGCTCAGTCAGTTACGCATCCAACTCTTGATTTCAGCTCACGTCATGACCTCACGGTTCGTGGGTTCAAGCCCTGTGTCAGGCTCTGTGCTGATGGCATGAAGCCTGCTTGGGATTCTCTGTCTTGTGTTCTCTCTCTCTCTCTCTCAAAAAACCCAAACAAACAAAAAAAAAACCCAAACACAACTGCAAATCCATACTGTATCCACTGTGGCATATAAGGAAGTTGAGGCTTCTTGTCACCTGTGCTGGAGGGAGGAAGACGGAACAGGAGGGGTGGCAGTGTGGGGAAGGCACGGAGGGAAATGCAGGCCAGGCGGAAGTGCGGTGGCCGCGAGACAGGCAGGTGGCCCTAGTTTCATCATTGTAACACAAGGGAGAGAAGCCAGGCCCGCCTCAGGGCCAGCACCAGGAGGCGAGGAGTAAGCAGGAGAGGTTTTTGTAAATGTCACCCTGCACACAGGGGCATCCGGGTGTCGTGTGAGATGCCCACTTCGGTTCTGCTAGGAGGTAGGAGCTCTGAGACCAAGTGCGCTACTTCAGTTTCAGCTTTTACCTCGTGGAGTTAGGGTTGTTGATCCTGTCTCTGGCAAAGATCAGAGATGGGGGAGTCTCTTACTTGTACCAAAATTAGCACTGGCTTTCCCCAGGCCTGATTTTCGGGGCTGGTGCTGACGGCGGAGCTGCCCGGCCACCAGAGCACCGAACGGCTGCTTCTAAGCAGCTGTTGCTGAGAGTAAGCTGATTACAGGAAAATTCTCCTTTTTTGGTATTTCGTATACCGTTCCTATTCCTATTTTTGGTCACATCTGTCCTATCTCTTATTTTTAAAGCCTTGCTCTTACTTTCTCTCTGGCATTTAAAAACATTTCGGTTTTGGGTAGCTAAGATTGTCCATTCTCCCCTTGTCCAGAAAGAAGAATTACCGCCTACCTGCTCTGTGGCGGGAAAGGATATTTATAAAGCAGTTGGAACATCTCCAGAGAAAGGCCAGCTTAGTATAAAGTGAGATTTTGATACTAGTGGGTGTGATTCTCACCTTCAGAGAGCCGATGAGTTTTCCCTGTAGTTATGCAGGGGAAAGGGAGAAACAAGGCAGCTCCAGAAATGTAACGTGTGTGAAAGGAAGCTGCTGATTCTAAACTCAGCCCAGTTTTCTTAGGTTCTTTTTCTTCCTAGCACATGCACGTGAGAGCCCTGGAAACACTTTCCAGGGACCACTTCTGTGCTGAGAGGGGGCCTGGCGTTAGAGGACAGACTGCTGCAAGGTCATCCCCAGATATGGAGATGCTCATTGGTTGCGAACTTCCCCAGGAAAGGAGGGTGTCCCAGC